TCTCTCTCTCTCTCTCTCTCTCTCTCTCTCTCTCTCTCTCTCTCTGTGTGTGTGTGTTTGTGTGTTTATTCTTAATCCAATACAGACTGACTATATGCTGTCAATGTTTAAGGTGTCTTTTTCTGGAAAAGAATTCTAAAATGTCAGAAACTGGATATGTGGGAGATGTTTGGAATTCCACTGGAAATGGGCTGAAATGCCATTATGAGTTTTTTTTTCTTGCCCACAATGATTCCAGCCAACAGTATAATTTGTACAAATGTGCAAGGGCTATGCTATTTTTTTTATTGAGTATACTCAAGTGACTTTGCAAAATAATTGCCAGTTAATCTTTGGCCTTCTTATGAAATTAACAATATCAGAGTTGGAAGAGGTCTTGGAGGTCTTCTGCTGAAGCAGGAGACTCTATACCATTCTGAACAAATTGCTGTCCAGTCGCTTCTTAAAAACCTCCAATTATGAAGCGCCCACAACTTTGGGGGGCAAGCTGTTCCATTAATTCTTCTTAGTGTTGACTCAAATGGGTCATTGTTTCATTTCAAAGTGAGTCTTCAATCGACCTGCAAGACTTGTCTGAATTGTCACTGGCAGAAGCACTTCTTGAGTAGAGGTTGGGCTCACAACACTTCCTTTGACAGAAGAGAGGAGGAGAGGCTATTCCAGTATTTTCCTCCCCAGAACCTGAAAATCTGATACAGAGAGTTGGTGGACAGTTTAAAAGAAAAGGACACAACTGGTACTAGTAGGCATCTCCTTGAGTGCTCCACTTCATTTTAATTTTAAATCACAGGAAATGGATTGGTTTCAGATGAAAAATAAAGTTTTAAATCTCCCCCTTAGTCCCAAGGTTTGACCATTCCAGCTCTAGATCTGGAATTGATGTCTGCAAGAAGGATGAGAATCTGGATAAAGTCTCTGCTAGATGTTGACTGTTCCATAATTAGAGGAGTTTCTACTTTTCATTAATGCTAGGACTCCAAGACATTACTTTAATGTACCTCTCATTGAAGTGATAGGCACAGTCCCACTAAAGGCAGCCATGCTGATGCTCCAAGGTTTCCATGTAAGAATAGTAAACTCGCAGGAATCTCAGTGGCTAGAATCATACAGTTGTTTACACTAGGTTTGTTGACTGGCTACAATTGGCTGGAGTCACATTTCATACTAATCCATAACTTACAAATCACATTGTTCCATGGGAAGGTCTGGGAAAGAAAATAATGATTTTTAAAGAGTCTGACCCTACTGCTTCTCTTTTTAAAAAGTTATAGAAGGGGACCTTGGACCATTTAGAAAACAAGTGCAATCTTTCGCAGCAGGGTTATGTCAAGGAAAGTAAAATGAAAGAGCAGGTCTCATCACCAAACCAACTTTAAAGAATTAACCACTCTCAACCTGCCAAAAATTTCAGGATTGACAGAGTAATTAGAGAAGGCAATGGCAAATCCCTTAGCCACCAGGAATTTAGCTTGGTTTCCTTCCCTCTCCCTCTCATTTCCTAAATGGAGGCCACAAAGGTTGCCATATGTTGTAATTATGGTGAGAATCTGAGTGAACAAAGTAAGTTCAAGCATCCACAATATTTAGCATTCACAGTACTGGAGATTGGCAGGACACCAGCCAATTTTTGTGTTTCTTAATGTTGTAACACTAGTGTCTCCCTCTTCTTCTCTTCTTTTAGACTTGCTGGATTTGGGAACTAAAGATATTCTCCATTTAAATGCTAATCTTTTTCTGTGACACAGATCGCTTTGTACATACAGTTTGATGTTCTGGTGCAATAAAACTTAAACTGCAAATGAGACTGCTCAGTGCCTCCCTCCTCCCTTTTCAACATACTAAACAAGGAAAAGGGGAAAAAATAGAAAATTGAAGGTTGGTGGTTGGGGAAAGGAACAATTGCTGGTAAAATATGGAAAGAACTGTTCTCTTTCTTGGGTTATTTTCTATAGCAGGCAGGAAGATGTTTATTCAATCTTTAATCCATCTGCCCAGATGCTGCAAAGAAGCCTGTCTGCCTATATTACATTTCAGAACTGAGTTGAAATGCTATGCTTGTTGTTTCGGGGTTTGAAAATGCTCTTACTATGTACAAAAGGGGAGGATGCCTTTGAGTTCCTTCTTTTGTTCAAGTAAGACTTGAACTCCCTCTCAAGTTCAAGTAGGACCTCTGGGAATAGCAGCTAAGGAGACAACCTAAATGGGTCAACATTGTACCCCTGTATCCCTATATTAGCTTCTGCCTTGGGGAGCTGAGCTAATTTGTTTCTGACTCAGTAGCAACACAGGAGGATTTGGAGATCCAGAGATCAGCACTGTCTTTTTGTACTCCATTTGGAGGAAGCCCTTGTCAACTTGATCATGTGGTTTGAATGATCCCTTTGCAAGAAGGGATATATAGAATCTATCAGAATGGTATATACAATGCATCTTTCTTTAAGCTTTTTGTTAGTCCTACAGGGTAGACCAGACTGAGAAACCGATGCCACATAAGGTTAGGACTACTTTTATTGTAACATCTATAATAACAGAATCTTTGAAGTCTGAGTGTGCAGTCCTTCCCTCTCTCGCTATATCTTCCTGTGAACTAGGGAGGGATTTGTCTGAGATATTTTCTCAAGTTATTTTCTTGAGCTGGACTCATGCCCCATTTATCACTGTCTTAGTAGCAGTTGTTCCTCCTGTCCTCTAGGCCAGTGTTTCTCAACCTTGGCAACTTTACGATGTGTGGACTTCAACTCCCAGAATTCTCCAGCTAGCATTGCTAGCTGGAGAATTTTGGGAGTTGAAGTCCACACATCGTAAAGTTGCCAAGGTTGAGAAACACTGCTCTAGGCCATCCCTAGATATAGATATAGGTACATAGATATAGGTATAGATATAGATATAGATATAGATATAGATGTTATAGTCTGCCATGTTACATTATAATGTAATCTTTCTCTTTCTCTCTGAAAGCTTAAGGGAAGGTGCACTGTATATACCATTCTGACAGATTCTATATATCCCTTCTTGCAACCCCACTGAGCACTAGGATCTGAATAGCTTATAAAGTTAATGTACTATATGTAGTCATCTTAATGAATACATGGTCCATGAATTAAATTCCTGGCAGAGGGATTGAACCCTATAGAAAGAGTCTATATCTTATGAGTTCCAATTGTCAGTTCTCAAGAACATAATATAGAATGAAACTGGTCTTATATCGCCTCCTTGCAGAACACCTAAGTTGTAGAATTCTGACAATTGGTTTGTGTGTTGAAGTGATGGTTGTGTGGAAGTATTCTTGAGCATCACAGTTCAGCTTCTTGGTTCCCAATGCAGTTAACCTGAAGGTACAATCCTTTTATAGGCTGTTTGGCTTGATGTAGTTTAGTTGCTTCCAGGCAGGATCCTTCATCAGTAATCACTCTGCTTCAGTCCTTGAATTTCATGAAAATTCCCATCTGAAGCCCTCCCATATTTTCCCATTTTTGTTTGTTTGTTTGTTTTGCTCTTCTTTCTTATCAAAAGAGAAAATCAGTTAAAATGGGAAAGACAGAATATCTGAACCAAGGCTTGTAAAAGGTAGTCCCAAGGACCTTTCTTTTGATGGCATCTTCTCAAAAGCTCCTTGAATACACATTCCTCTCAGGACAATGTGCTGAGTCATTCAAGGACTTGTCTGCTGTCAAGTCTGAATCAAAGGTAAATAAACTGAATTATTAAGTGCTTAGTCAGGATCTGAGGACTCCTCAAAAGGACCTGCTCAAAGTTTACACTATATTCTGAAAACAAAATGAGAAGCAATAGGTAGAAAGTGTCAAGAAGCTCTAAGATCGAAGATCATGACAGAGAGCCTCCATCTTGTGGTCATTCCTCACTAATACACTATTTAAAGACTCAAACACCCTTAGGGCCAAAGGATTCATAGTTAGAATAGTTTGCGTTAGAAGCACAGAATTAACTAAAGCATTCAGCAGGTCCTGGATAAAAGAAAGAATGCCATGCACCTTTATTACTTACCTATATTTTGATTTCTTTCCTGGCATACAGTATTTTGTATCAGCTTTGATTTTTATTTTCCTTTTTTTTTAAGAAAGAGAAAGAGAAAGGAGAAAGAGAAAGAGAAAGGAAAGGCTCATTAGAACCACTAGTCCTAGTGAATCTGTTTGCTGTTGGCCTTCTTGCTATACAGGGAGACACTTCATCCAATTGTTTGAGGGTAGCAGATGGATGCAAGCATCTGCTGTCATTGCCATCATGAGTGTATTTGACAGATCCAACAGGAGGCTTGCTGGCATTTCTGAGAAGGAGGGGGAGTGGGGAGGGAGGGAAAATGTGTGCTAAGGCTTGCTAAGATGTAAGATTGAAACTGAATAGTCCACACATATTCCAGGCCCAACAGAATACGCCAGCAGTCTAATACACAGCCGGCGTCAATGGTTTTGATCAGAACACGTTGGTGAACTGATCTGAAGAATCTTTGCATCCCAGCAGATGGTCACATGTAATTGCAAAATCTGGAGTTTGGTCAATACACTAATATCATCAGATTTCTGGAAATCTCTTAAATGCAAAGCTGCCTTTGTGGTTTTGCACGAGAACCTGAATAAGAACTAGGTAGTGGCTCCAGGCAATGGAGGTTACATTTTCGTTGTTTGTGCAGTGTGCTTCTTCCACGCATCCCAAATGCTTTGTCTATCATTGTTAAGTCGCTTTACACTGTAAATTGAATAGTTTTATATGCACGGCCAAAATCTGTTTAAAGTCTGTAATAATATGTAAATATAAAAGATGATATTTTCACTTTTAACTATGAAAAAAGGTAAGTTCTTCTTACAGAAAATATTGTAAATGCAGCCAAACTTGCTTATTCAAATTACATTTTCCATTACCTATGGAGTTAGACATTCTATCGTGATAGAATACCACATTTTGCATAACTTTTTGACAGATAATGGAGATTGTCTATTCTACACTCATTCACGTCCATATTTCTTGCTCCTCTGTTCCTCTAGGTTGATCCTTACTTGCCCTATGAATACACGTCTGAGGGAATGCTAGAGCGAATCCATGCCTACATTCAAAACCAGGTAACTTATCTTCCCCTTCTTTCTGACTCAACCCAGCCGATAGGGATATCCTAGAACCATTAATTTTGTTTATGTAGTATAAAATAACCCTAATCGACCTAATTCTTCCCATTGTGCTGGACTAGAATTCCCACCTTCCTCAACTAACACAGCCATCAGATGCTTAAATATTTACTTACATCTACTAAAGTGAGCTAGGCCAAAGTTTGAGTGCTATTTTGTCTGGGGGAGCCAAGGGTTTTAAGAGAGAAATGAGGGTCCTAATTCTCTTTTAACAGATGGGTTGAAAACTCTGGCCCTGTATACTCCACCAGCATCCTAACATCATTGCCGGCCATGTCCTTAGTACTTTTGGAGACAAAATAATTCTAAATAATAGTGATAATAAACATCAGAGCAAGAAAGTTGCCCATGTGTCTCTTAGTGGGCTATTGTGAAAAGGGAGGGTTTTTTTTTTCTTCCCTTCTTTTGAGGTGCCAGAAGTGGAAAAATATGGAGAAGGAATCTGGAAGAAATCCCCACATGAGATATTTTGATTTTCCAAATGATCAGTAAAATTGAATCCCTTTCCAGCCAATTCTTGGCCATGTTGGAAACTTTGGCAAACTTTGAGCAACCAAAATGGGGAAATGCTATTTTAAACATATATTTTCTCTGAAGCTTTTTCTTCAGAAACATGTTTAATCTATTCCTGTACAATTTGGTTCTCTCTACCCACAGTTAATGACAGTTACTATTTTCAACACTTTTTTTCTGTTTGCTAATTGGCAAAATGATGTGCTTTGATATCACAGAGAGGACCAGCACACTGTTCCATTTTTAATCCTTGAAATAATAGGAATAAAAATAACTAAGAGTATATATCATAGCACCCTTTTATGCACAGAAAGCAGAGTGTAATTTTTTTCTCCCTTATTCCGAGACCAGGTCAATATTATGGAAAAGTATTCTGCACTTCAAGGAGGGAAAAGTCTATTCTGGAAAGCACATCAGCAACTTCAGTAAAGAATAAATAGACCTAACAAGGCAACTTAGATCCACAGTTTTGAGTAATTTCAGTTCATTTTAGATGTAATTAAAAATTGCTTTAAAAACTGGCCGCCAAAAATTCATCACATCACATCAAAAGGTTGATACCAATCTATTAAAAAGCCACTGCCAGTGATTCTGGAATTCAGCTCTTAATAGGTGACTAAGGACATGAGGTTTCTAGCAGTGGTTATAAACTCCGTTTAACAGAGCTGTATTTCTCTATTGACTTACCTAGTAGTAATACCTATGAACTCTGTGGCACTTACCCATGGGAGGATATGGATAAGACTGACTCTATTAAAGAACAGGATTAACAGAATCTCACGACTTACTTTTGCATAAAAGCAAGGGTGGTTTTGTTGGCAGTAAAACATGGGCTTTATTGCAATTGCAGGCAAAAACCACACACACAAAATTGTGTCTTTCAAAGACTCCTCAGTGAACAGAGGCAGCACTGCTATATGTAACAATTTAATCGTGGCATCTTTCTTCAAATTTTAATGCATATTTATTATTTATGTGCAGTTATTTACAGATACAAAATAGGAAAACAGAGGACATGGTAGGTGGAAAAGTCTGGACACCCTTCCATTCAGCACTTTGTAACACTTCCTTTGGCAAAAATAACAGCTTCCACAATTTCTTCTAGCCAACCAAAAGTCTTTCTGTTCCTAATTTGAATGTTTTTTTCTCAACTTTTCCTTGCAGAACACTTTTAGTTCAGAAATATTGTTAGATCTCCTTGTATGCATTACATATTTGAGCTCTCCCACAGATTTTCAATAAGAAATGTCTGATGGAACTGTGATGGCCATTCCAAGCATTTTTTTTCTTTCTTATAAGTATTCCATGATTGATTTAGATGTTACAAATAACACAATACTCCTTCTTTCTCCTATTTTCCCCACAAAAACAACCCTGTGAGATGGATTGGGCTGAGAGAGAGTGACTTGGGGAAAAAGTAGTACTGAATCAATGGGAAAAGTTTTCAAATGTCTAAGCTTGCTGTATTTACTGTTTTCTTATTTTGCATCTCTAAACAACAATGCGTAAATACCGGTAGTAAGTATCATTCAGTTTTGGAGAAAAAAGGTTGTATCTAACTTGTGCGATATAGAGGTTGTATCAGCCTCTATTCACGTAGATATCCACTGCAACATACAATTGAATGAGGAAGACTAAACTTCTCTATGCAACTGCACAGTAATTACTTTATTAGGCCAGTTCAAGATCAGAAAGCAATATGTCAGCTTATATGTTCTCCAGAACTTTGCACTTGGAAAGCTGATAACCAAAAATGGGTGGGGAGAGAAGAAAGATATATTAAGACTATGGCATCTGAATTTAGTTGTAGTCTTAAGAGAATACGTGAGGGGGGATAATGATGTTGTTCAAATTTGTCTTTGATATATTTTGGCATCTCCTTGATGTGTTGGGATTACAGTTTCCAGGATACTCAGGCAATAGGCTGGCTAGTAATTGTGGGAGTTATAACCAAAAATATCTGGAAAGCATCAGGTTAAGGAAAATATAGCTTCATCAGAGAGATCAGGCTACATATCTGCAGGAATGTCTTTTGAAATGCCTGTGTAACAAGTGCTTTTCTCTCCCCCAATCTGATAGGATTTCTGTGCTACTGCTGCTCTACCAGACAAGTCCAGCAGCCCAACTATGCAAAGCTCTCTCAGTCCTTTCATCCTGCAACCCAATTCAACTGCCCTGGTATGGTCTCATAATGTAAGCAGCAGCCATCTTCCAGCCTGGCCCCCAGTCAAGTCCCTGCAGGTGTGGCTATCCGAGACTGGCCAAGCATGCACCAGAACTTGTCAGCAGCACAATTTAGTCTGTGAGCCTGAGTTTTTCAAGTTTCTCAACAAAAAAGAAGTGTTCCAGCAGTAAGTTGTCTAGCTTTTTTATGTCCTTCCCTTATCCCCCTCCCCACCCCCCAAAGGAAGCTCTCCTCTTCTCTATGGAAGATGTAAAATTCCAATGAAGGCTTTGGAAGTTGATTTGGGAGAAGCAGTAAAAGGTCACCTTATTACCATTATCTGTACTGTTGTTGAGTTTTGACATTTAGGCAAGACTATATTGAAAGTTAATGTTTTGTATCCCAGATGGAGTCTTATGGCAAATTTGAAGAGGGTGGTGTGCTAAGCCTTTCACAGTTTCATATTACTGTTTCAAAACTTGCACTTTAATGCCTGAGTCTGAAATTTGCAGATGGCTTTGTTTCATAGGGAGTTGTAGAAACTCTGTTGGGGGGATGGAAGAGGGAAATCTGTTGAATATGACTCAAATGTTAATATTTTAATTACTCTGCCATGGTTAATTGGTAATGCCAAGAAAGAAGCACCACACGAAGTTTTATGCCATCTTTCCCCAACCTTTTCCTCTTAGATCTGTTGAAATGACCACTCCTAGAATTCTGCAGCTATCAATATTGACTGTCTCAAAATATCTAGGGAGCCAAAAGTTGGGGAAGGCTAAGTAGGAGGCATCAGTCCCTGTTTCAGAAATAAGGAGCTTCTAATCTTTGAAATAGGGCAGAATTACAACTCTTAGCATCTCTCAGTATTGGAAATGCTTATTGATGCTGTTAGTAATTGCAGTTCAGCTATAACTGGAAAACAATGTTTCTCCATATCTGCCATAATTCAAAAGCTGTTTCACTTTCCTGGCCCTGTTAGCTTCAGTATAGGCATGAGTTAGTACTAGCACTAGCACTTAGAATTATATGCCATTTCACAGTATTTTACAGCCCTCTCTAAGCAGTTTACAGAATCAGCATATTGCCCCTAACAATCTGGGTCCTCATTTTACCCATCTCGGAAGGATGGAAGGCTGAGTCATCCTTGAGCCAACGAGAATTGAACTGCTCGCAGTCAGCAGAATTAGCCTGCAATACTGCATTCTAACCACTATGCCACCATGGCTATTGACTCTTCAAGTTAGTCTTGAATTAATGGGTACATTTTTCAGTGATTTGCAGGAACTGTATATTTTTGCTGCCACGTTACTAATAGCAAATAATGTGGCAATGTCAACAAAATGAATAGCCTTTCACAAATTAAGCAAATATAACAAAAAAAAATATTGTGGTAACCAGGGTTAGGTTGTCTATGGAAAAGCCGTAAGTTTTGTTCAGTTCTGGTATTCCAAATATAGCTCTCCGGCTTCAGCACTAGCTTAAAGACCTCATATCCCTTTGTTCTATCTTAGAGTCATATGCATCTACTTCTAGCTGCCTCTGACTCACAGTTTGTAGCCAGTAGATCTCACAAGCCTCTCTCATAGTCCAGAGAATTTAGCTGTTTATTTCCTGTCTTCCTGTTTTAAAAGGAGGGTTTTTTTCACAGATGTCTCCCTGACATTTGTTTAGTGTCCTCTGCACACAACGCATTAGACAATATATATATATATATATTTGGACAGACCTTCCAGTTGTATTGAGTATGAATAGCTTTATGCAGTTGAAAAGATGTTGGGTTTTTTAAGACAACATTGTTCTCTTCTCATCCCCTTCCCTTTTTATCCCTCTGTCTGTGAGCATGCATTTGGAACACAGAGGCACTGACATTTTAATAGAACATAAATCTGCCACCCAGCTCCATACATAGCTCCGGACAATTAAAATGGCTGCATTATCATTTTTGTCACGGCGGCCAAGCAGGCAATTTGAGTCCGAGTGACATTTTTATATGATAAATAAGAGCCAGAGCTCAGATTCGACTTGCTAAGCTCCTTTAGCTTTTTAAAATTCAACCATTTTAGAGAAATTGCTAGTTCAAAATCACTAGCTCAAATCACAGTTTATTAAAGAGATGGCAAGCCATTGACTGAGTCGCAAGGCAAGTTAAAGCTAGAGCAGAGGTTGCAACATGGGACCTTCCAGATAGGCTGAACCTCAGTTCCCATCAACCCTTGTCAGCCAGGTCAATGACAAACAGTTGTGGAAATTGTCGTTTAAAAGAACCGGATGGCTCCAAATTGTCAGCTAAGGATACATTACTTGGTAACTTTCACTGAAGTCCAGAGAGAGAAACACCAAGTGTTACTATTAGAAACTCAGTTTGATGAGAGGCTAAGATATTGGACTAGAATAGATAGACTCAGCTTCAGTTTCTGGACCACCCTTAGCCATAGAAGCTTGCTGGAGGACTTTGGACCAGTTTCTCTCCCTCCCTTCCTTTGCTAGGTTGTAGCTGTAAGGGAAAATAGGAGGAGGGAAAGGATTGTATGCTGCCTGAAGCTTCCTGAATGGAAGATGAGTTATAAATGTAATAAATGCATAGAATACGGATGGCTTTTTCAAAACACTGCTTTCCTTGTACCTTCAATCATCCCTTTCTGCTTATTATTAATTTGATGCTAATAGTATGGTCAGCTGCAATCATCTTCTATGTTGTGGATTCCCAGAATGTCTCCAGGAAGAAGGAAAAAATGGATGCTTATTTTTACTAAATAATTCTAAAAGGATCATTATGATTATGATTGGTAAGAACATGGATCAGGAATCTATGTCTAAAAGCTGTTCAGACTCAGAGAGATGGAGTGAATAGAAATGTTTATTTTTAAAATCAATTACTCTTTTGAAAAGCACCCTGTATAAAATTTTATCATGTGCAGAGATGGACAGGCTTACAATGGCTATGAAAGATAAGACAGAACTGGAATATCTTGAAATCTGGGACAAATTTTATCGCTGGTATGAATCAAGGAGAACCGCTCGGATCTTAAGCTAACGATAGGATTGAAACATACATATAATTGTACATATAATTGTATATATAATTGTATTGTGTAGAAGAATGAGGTTTCTATAGAGGTTAAGGATGATGTATTAAGCTTTTGTATCACGAGAAACAAATTGTTAGGAATATTTACTCTGGAATGCCACGTATGTCCATTTTTGTTTTAATTGTATTATAAATAAAAAACTTTTTATAAAAAAAAAAAAAAAAAAAAAAAGAAAAGCACCCACTATGAGAAAGTAGAGATTCTGGGGAAACATTCATTGTATTGGGCTCTTTACGTTTTCTGGCATCATCTATCACATGTTAGTTTAATCTAGATTTTTCCCTACAAATGCTTTTCAGATATGTCAGGCAACAGTGCCATTTAGGTGGCTGATAGGAGTCAAAGTCCAGCACATCTAGAGGAACTCACCATTGGAGGAGTGTGGATTAAGCATGTATAAATTAGATCAAGATAATTTTTGCTGCCAGTTTGGAAATGTATGTGTCATTCCATTACTGGTTAGCCATGAGATGTTCTGCAAACAGATCGGGAAATAACTGGGCGTATGGTCATACAATTAAAGCAAATTTTGTCAAAGAACATGAAACATTCATGTAAAAATAACAAAAACAATGATACCACATATTTCTTGACTGGCTCAAGATTGATTCAGACTTTCATCCTTCCGAGGTTGGTAAAATGAGAACTCAAGATTGTTTGGGGGCAATATGCTGACTCTGTAAACCACTTAGAGAGGGCTGTAAAGCACTATGAAGTGGTATATAAGTCTAAGAGCTATTGCTATTCTTTATTTGGATGAGAGAGAGGGGGGGTTATTTTAATTCAAGTTAAAGTGAGATTTGCCCAAAATCTGAAAGTCTCTTTTAGCGAATAGTAGAGATCACTCATGTTTGTGCAAAATCCAAAGCACTTTTTCTAAATTACTTTCGACGCACTGCACTGGATGTGCATCTCCAAGGGAGTTATTTCCAAAAGAATTCTGGGAGACATTTCATCAGTTTAGAAGAGAGTTTAATCCTTTAACTCCATGCAACTCTTCTGTTCCTAATTAACCTCATTGAAATTAAAAATGGGTCTTTTATGTAACTGTTTTCTCTGCTGGGCTAAGAGCAGTTTGGTTGTGCCTATGTGTAAATACCAAGTGACACTGATTGTAAAAACAGGGAGGGATTATTAAATGTACCTCTCACTGTTCAAATGAAATCTGAAGAAGAATTATGATTTCTGTAGAGTTTTTTTTAAAAAAGGAAATCTATCCAATTGTAGATTTAACAACAACATTCAATTTGTCCCTCAGGAGATATCTACAAGTATAACATTATAACCCCCTAAAACAATACGCATCACACAGATATGCTCACCAAAGAGACCATATTGTTCTCATCCTCTGTGCTTTAAAATGCATTAATAACCCTGTGTTTACTGTTGGGTAACGTGTTAAATGGTCTTTAATATTGCTTCCATGGAGATGACATCTACAGAGCCATGCTAAAATTTACCATCACAAAGTTCTTACTAAGTCTTGCCTTTCATTTTCTAGGCTCAACATTGTTTGTGATAGCACAGAGTCTGAGATGAATCACCTTTATCCAGCTGTGGCCGAAAATGTCCGGGAATGCTACCTTCAGAAGGATCATCTGTTATTCAGCTGTGCTGGATGCAATACGAAGTACCAGCGCCTCTGCCCATGCCGTGACTACCAGAAAGGACAGGTGGCACTCTGCAGGGACTGTTTGTGACTTCACTGAAGCAAGTGTGTGGCAACATATCACATGCACTGAGGGACTTTGTTTTCTTTTCTTTTCCCATAGACTGTTCTGCAATAGTCAAGAAGGATCCAGAACTCAAGACAATTCCAAGAAGGAATTTATTTTTGGAGACTTGCAAAAACACTCGGATGCCAATGACGTTGGTTTGTCTGCCAATCAAGGATGAATAACTCTTTTAATGTTCCTTTACCACAACTCTTCTACCACACCCAAAATCATGTGGCACCCCTGAAGGAACTTAGAAGAACAAGCTGAAATCTTTCAAAATAGCAAAGCACCCATTTTAGGATCTCATCTTCCTGAAACATTATTTTTTATGAGGAAAATAAGTTCAATTAAAGCAGGAAAGTCATGAAATAGTTTGTGTGCGGGTTGTGTTTTGTTTTTTTAAGTGACATGCTTTCAAAATGCTTGGTTATCTCTTTGGAAAGACCTAATCTTTGTAGTGGTGTGGACTAAGCAACGGGGGTATCCCCCAGTGGTGTTGCTTTGAGTTACATCTGTCACAGTCTCTGACAATTGGTCATGCTATCTCAGGGTTATGAAAGTTGCAATCCCGGACTTCTGGTTATTGCCTAACCCTGCAGTAAAAGATGACATGGGATGAAAAGGAAAAGAATAAGGAAGTACTTGCCAAGAGATGTAGTGCAGCTTTACCCAACTGATATGTTCCAAATGTGCTCAGGTATAACCTGAATACATTTTCCCCAGACCGGACTGTCAGGCCACTGTAAGTAGGAGCAGATCTGCAATGCATCAGGTTAGGGGATGTTAAACTACTGTACCTCATGCAACGCTGTGTTGTACAGGTAGACAACTTACCCACCATTCGTTTAGCAACTGTCCCAAATTACAATGGCACTGAAACAAATCACTCACAACCAGTCCTTGCACTTCCAGTTGTTGCAGTATCTCTACAGTCAAGTAATCAGAATTTGGATGCTTGGAAACAGGCATCTATTTACGATAGTTGCAGCATCCCATCTATTTGCCACCTTCCCAGCTGACTTCTGACTAGCAAAGTTAATGGGGGTGGGGGAAACTGATTTACTTAATGACCACTTAAGGATTCACTTAACAATTGCAGTGATTCACTTAACAACAGTGACAAAAAGATAAAAAAAAATCAGGCGTAACTCGCTTAACTGTTTAGCAGTGGGAATTCTGGTCCCCGTTGTAGTCCTAAATCGCTGATTACTTGTAAGTGTGGAGTCATTATTGCAATTAGTAAAAGGCAGAAAGGTGGTAGGATAATTGGAAGCTGCCTTATCCTAAGTAAGACAACTGCTCCATTAAGCTCAGGAGTATTCACTGAATGGATGGGGCACTGGATGTTTATTTATTTAATATGCTGGGTGGTTTTTGCTGCAAGGCGGCCCTCCAGGGCAGACTCGTGCCTATCAGGATTTGATATCTGCCACTGGAAGTTCAAAAAACTGATAAGATGATGGCATTGTTGGTATAGGGATGAGCCCTCAATATTTTCCTCACTGTCATTCTGAGTTACACAGGTCTTGCATTTCTTTATTGGGGGTGATTGGGGTTTCTTTGATTTGTATTTCAGTATGAAGGTTACCTGTTCATTCTTCCAATACCTGTAAATAAAATGGAACAGAGTTACATGCCACAATCAGTGCCAGTAAGGTGTGCCTATCAGTATGCATTTATGAATTGCAAAACTGAATTGCAACATTCCAGGCACAGAACATTATGCGCTTAATATTGAAGAGTGCAAAAATGCAATATAATAAGACAGTCAGCAATAGATAAAAGTGATATTGCAGAAAAGTACACACCGATATGCAACCATGCATACAAAATGTATGAGGAGAAATTCACATAAAATGTGTATGTAACTTCAGGAGGCTTGCAGGAAAAAAAAAAGAGAATTGGTCAAAGGAATTTATAGTAGAAAAATGAGAAAATGAGTGAATTTGCTAGGTTCAGTCATCTTCTTGCTTTTAAGCCTGACTGGTATGGGGGTCACTGTGTTCAGCTTAGAGATTGAGGCCTTCTGATGTCAAAATGACCTGTCATTAATTGCAAACTCATGTGCCACTCATACATAGAGGTAGTAGGTAAGTAAACCTTTATTGTGATCTTTGACCGACACTGGAAGGTAAAGGAAAGAAAATTAAAGGCATCAAATAAATGTAGTTTGGACAATATTTTTTGTTTTACTCTTTCAGCAGCAAAATTACACCACAGGCGATGGCGATTTTATAGTCTGCTATATATGAAGGGAATGCATGAAGTCACCGTCCTTCAAATATACCCTGTATGCCAGGGGTTCCCAACCTGTGGGCCATGGTCCACTACAGGGCTGGGGCCTAATGGCCACCAGGCTGCGTGTGTGGCTGGCCAGTGCATGGGTGTGCAGTGTGTGCATAGCCCCATTCAGACAAGCATCTCCATGAGCATCCGCAGCACCTCTTGCACAAGCGTTGCAGGCACTCAGGGATCTGTGCAAGTGTTGCAGGTGGTCTCGGCCCCACTCACACAATGGGTGCTCATGCACGCACATGTGTGTGCTCATGTGTCTGCCCCTCCCACAAAACCATCCCCTCTTTCCCTCCTCCCCCCTCTGGGCCACCAACCCAGAAAGGTTGGAGAACTCTGATGTATGCCATGTCAATCTTATACTGTAAGAGAGTAACATTGCCAACATTGCTACCATAAACCACCAGACTTCCCTAGAGATAAGTTCAAATTTTCTTCTGCTGTTAAGTGGTTGTGCATGGAGTTCCAGGGCAAAACGTCTACAGGTAGTCCTCGAAAACAGTTCATTTAGTGACCATTCAAAGACTTATGACCTTTTTCACACTTATAACCAATGCAGCATCCCCATGGCCACGTGATTTACATTTGGATGCTTGACAACTGGTTCATATTTATGACGGTTGCCATGTCCCAGGGGGTCATGTGATCGCCTTTTGCAACCTTCTGACAAGCAAAGTCAATGGGGAAGCCAGATTCACTTAACAACCCTGTTATTAATTTAACAACTGCAGTGATTCACTTATCGACTGTGGCAAGAAAAGTCGTTAAATGGTACAAAATCCATTTAACAAACTTCTCGCTTAGCAACATAAATTCCGGGCTCAGTTGCGGTCGTAAGTCGAGGACTACCTGTATAAGGCTTTTAGGCAGGAAAAAAGAAAAGATTAATATGCTCAAATCTCCAGGCTGGGTTAGGAGCCAAGAAGTTTTCAGAATGTTCCCTTTCTGTGCAAAGTATCTTTCCCCTTTCCTTTTCCTTGCCATTATTCCTATTTGTGAACTTAAATACATGGGGCAGTTTGGGCCGCAATATAGGCCTATGCATCTTCTAAAATCCTTCGGTGTAATTCTCTGACAACCTCCAATAATGATCACCTAGTTGTGATTTTTTAATATGACAAGGGAGTCATCGCATGAGCTCTATTTAACTAAATAAATGTGATTTTAATTGCATGTGAATGAAATGAAATTAGATTTTTTTTTTTTTTTTGGCTACATGCACTTCATGAAATGCAGCCGTCAGCATAAAGACAGCCCTTGGCCCATAAACACTGCGCATCTTGGATGCAAGCTGTTGTCTTTCAGTGAGAATATGTATTCCAGGGATTGATAGGTTGTTATTTGGTGCCAAGTTGCCTCATGCATCATATGTTGCATTGTGCCAATGTGGACAGGGCAATGGTTTAGCTGAGAGCAGCTATTTTTCTCTCTCCCTTATTTTTCTTTTCTTTTTATCATAACAAGTTTTACAAGAAATGCACTAAAAAAAATTTTTCCTCTCCTCTAGACCAGAGGTCCTCAACCTCTTGGGCACCAGGAACCGGTTATGTGGTGAGAGGTTTTTCCACGGACCAGAGGGGGTGTGGTTTTGTGTGCTGCCTGCTTCCTGCAGATGGGGCTTTCCTTGTTTGTGTGGACCAGTTGCGGGCATGCCACGGACTAGTATGGTCCATGGACCGGGGGTTGGGGACACCTGCTCTAGACAATCAAGTGGGGAGCATGGAGGCAGGAGAGATCTTCTCCTTCCCTACCTTCAGGAGACCTTGAATTTTAACTCCCTTCCCATCATCCTCAGTTAGGAATGATGGAAATTTTGCTCTAACAGAAGGATCCCCAAACCCCTGGGCTGTAGCCCGCTTCCGGGCCGTGGCCCATTCAGAACTGGGCTGTGGAAACAGCAGGCAAGTGTGCATAGCTCCATTTGCGTGAGCAGCGGGCATTTGTGCTAACGTGGGAAGGTCCATTTGTGCAAGCTACATGCATGCACAACTGCTGCTTGTGTAAATGGAGCTGCACATGCAAGCGTACACACCCGCTACTTGCATAGAACCATCCCCTCTCTGCCTCCCCCACACCGGTCTGCAAAGTCGGAAAGGTTGGAGACCCCTACTCTAACACATCTGGAGGGCACTAGATAGCTATTTATTTAATTTTTTTGAAAGCCATTAAGTTTAGCTATTTATTTAATTTTTAATAGCCTTTAGGTTTAACTATTTATTTAATTTTTTGGAAGCCATTAAGTGACAGGCTGAAGTGAGGGAGTTATTGAGAAGACGAAACCTCTAACCCTTTGTTCTCATTGCCCTATTAAGGTTAGATGTTTCCTGTGTTCCCATAGAAGCAGAGGAAAAACTATAGGGAAGCATAATTTAAAAAGAAAAAAAGTGTTTTTATTCCTTCTTGTTCTAGGGAAGTGATACATGCTTGAGGCTATGACCTCTCATGACCATATTGCAATTTTAATGTATTAGAAGTGATGATGTATCCTAAAAGTTGCTACTAAACTATAGTTCTTAAAGCAAAAGAAGTGGGAGTTATTAGATACCTGGGAAAATAATCCTATTAGCTGCATTTAATTCAATTTAAATTTTTGTTCTGAACGTGTCCACTTCTTAGAACATAGCTCTCAGCAGGTCTTTCAAAATTCAAGTATGTCCTGCAGTGTGAATAAAATTGTCCATCTCTGTGCT